TTATATAATTAACCTTGACCCTTTTGGGTTCAAAGAGAGAAGTTAGTTGGAAATAAATCAATAGTCTGGGCTGATCACTTCAAAGGCTGCAGAACCCCTGGAAAATTCCACGTTGGTGCCGTGTGTAAATGGGAAGAGATGTGCGATGCTTTGGGGAGGAGGGTTCGGGGTGGAAAATTGAAATTAATTGTGCATCCGCTTCCTTTAATCAGGCAATCAGGAGTCATTATTATGTGTCTTGTGGGGAGGGAACAGGAGAAAGCTTTGTGACCTCCAGGTAACTGCTGGCTCTGCAGGCCCCAGGACAATGTTACCACTCCAGGCCCAGAAGCCGCCCTGCAATGGCAGGGACAGTCCCGTATCACACATGTTTGTAGTTCTTACACATTCGCCATCCTCTCTGGAGCTAGCAGGTTTGCTTACGGAGCACCAGGTACCAAGGAGCTCTGGGTTCTTTTTCTCATTTGATCCTCGTAACAAGCCAGTGACTTCAGTCCTGTTGTTGTGTTTATTACCCGTGAGGACACTGTGCTTTGGAGAGGTGAAGCATCAGGTCCCGAGCTACACTGCCGCTTTCTTTCAGCCAATGCCCTGCTTCAGGAAAGAGTTGCAAATCACCAGATAGCATCCCCTTCTCCCGACTTGCACTTCCCAGAAGTTGTAAGGGAGAAAAAATAAAATACTAGAAGAGAGAGTTTTTTGTTTGTTAGTTGGTCTGTCTTTGGGTGCTGGGGATTGAATCCAGGCCTTGCACACTATGTACTCTGCGGCTGAGTGCCACACCTCAGCTGCTAGAACAGCTTTATCTTTGTTTGTTTGGAGACAGGGTCTCGCTATGTAGCTCAGGCTGGGCTTGAACTCACTACGTAGCTCAAGCTAGCCTCAAATTTAGGGCGATCCTCCTGCCTCAAGCTCCCGAGTGCTGAGATTACAGGAGTGTGCCACTATGCCCAGTTTAGGGCAGGTTGCTTTTAAAGTCATTCTTGGCTTTATCTCTATTTCTTTGGGGTTGGGGCGGTTGGTGGGAATTGAACCTGGAGAGGGGCTCTCATATCGTAAGTACTCTACCACTGTGTTACATCTCCAGTCCTTGAAAACTTTTTTTTTTTTTTTTTTTTTGTCTTTTTCCTTTTTATCGGTACCGGGGATCGAACTCACAACTGCCTGCTTCAAGGCAGGCACTTATGCCACTGAGCTAAATCCCCAGCCCCCTGAAAACTTTTTTTTTATTTTATTTTTTGGGGATCAAACTCATGACTTTGTGCTTGCCAGGCAGGCACTGTGCCACTGAGCTACATCCCTGGCCTGAAAACTTATTTTGAAACAGGATCTCGCTAAAGTGCCCATGCTAGGCTTAAAACTCAAGATCTTCCTGCTTCAGCTTCCTGAGTAGCTGTGAATTACAGGCATGCACCGTCTCACCCCGTCTGTCCTCTATCTCCTGTTTCATCCCCTTCTCTCCTTCTTTCCCTCTCTCTTTTCTTTCTCCTTCCCTCTTTCTGGCTCTCTTTCCACGTGCATTTGTGAAGAATGTATTGCTACTCCGCAGCAGCACCACCAGGTCATAAGGAGATAAAGACATCACTGGCCATTCAGGCCGGGCGGGCACCTTGAGCAAGGTGGGGTGACGGGGGAGGCTCCAAGTCGAAGGAACCTCTTCCAGTACAGGAGCAGCCTGGGGTCACTGTCCTGCTGAGGCACGTAGGGAATGATTAGCCTTAGTAACAGGCCCTGGGCTGGGCCCAAGCGCTTCACCCAGGAGCTTGTTTCCTGCTTGCAGAAGTCCTACCCACAGCTTCTGGGGGGGACACAAAGGCACAAGTCCAGGGATGCCCGTGAGGTCACAGTGAGCCAGAATGACAAAGCTGAGTCCTGCTCCTAACCACCAGGCAGCACTGTCTCTTGGGGAAGGAGAGTTTGCGGGCCAGGCTGAAGACCTTGCTCTGCCCCAGGGCAAAGGGGAGCCATAGCAGGTTCCTGATCCTTCCACATTACAGGTCACCACAAGAGGGGACTGTCTGACATTCCTGGGTCTCTCCAGATCCTTCAAACAGAGAACTTCCATTTTAGCTGATTTCAGCAGCCTCCCAGCTCCCCTCCTCCTCCATACCTGCATACTAATCACCAGACACCTGAGGACAGGGACGGGTGGTTTCTCTCCACCAAAGGAGAGGACAATGGTGGGTCTAGCCCTGCCCGTTCTGAGGTCATCTGAAGACTCATCTGTGTTTTGGAGGTGACCAAAAAGCATATGAAGGAACAGCAGAGGCAGCATGATCATTAGCGCAGAAGGATTCCTTGAACTGGCAGTGTTGGGGCACACCTGTAATCTTGGCACTCTGGGAGGCTGAGGCAGGAAGATCGCAGGGGGCAGCCTAGCTGGGTTATTTAATGACCTAATGAGATGTTGTCTCAAGAATTAAAAAATAAAAAGTTTGGGGATGTAGCTCAGTGTGAAGGTGCTGGGTTCAATCCCCAGGGCCTTACAAGAAGAAGGTGAAGAGAAGAGGAGGAGGAGGCCCTTGGAGGCCCCTTCCCTTCCCCAGAAAGCCCAGCCCCACTCCATGACTCCTTTCCCCCTGCAGAGCTACAGAGAGTTTTCCTCGAATGCCCAAGACCCGCAGTCATTTGGTTCCACATATACTGACGCCCTTGGGGCCGAGGGCCGGGTCCCGCCCTGGCTTGTGGCTGGAGCTCATCTGAGCACTTGAATCGGTTGTGGCTATTTCTAGTCCAACCTGCAGACCCTGAGCTCCCCGAAGTTGTCAGTCTTCTGCTCAGCGCTCAACACAACTAATGGCTTCCTTCAACCAGGAACCAGCAACTCCATCCTCAGCGATGTAATCCTTGCTGTCTCCACTAGGGGGCAGCAAAACCCTCTCATCACAGCCTCTGGTCCCAGGATGCAGAGCTCCCAGGCTGTTGCTGGGACTAGAAGCCCTGGCGGATCCTGGGAGACCTGGCCGGGGACAGCTCAGTTTCTTCTTCATCCCACCTCTTCCCCACCCCACCTCCGGGGGTACTTTGCCCTCCCACACGTTCCCTGCTTATTCCAGCGGTGTTGCCCCTCACCTGCAATTCCTGCACTCAGGAGGCTGAGGCAGGAATGATAGCTTTGTGTATGAGGCCAGCCTGAGCCACATAGTGAGTTCAAAGCCAGGCTGGACTACAGTGTGAAACCCTTTTCAAAAGAACTATACTAAAGAAAAGACCACTGGATCTTTGGAATATTTCACCAAGTCATTGGCTGTGCAAGGGAAGGAACCAGGTCCGCAGGCACGTAGGTGGGCCCCTTACTCTGAATCACACATATTAAAGTTTTTATATATGGTGTGAGATAGGGGACTAAATTATTGTCTTTGTGTGTGACTCTCCAGTTGTCCTAGGATCAATTGTTGAAAAGAATTCTTTCTCGGGGCTGGGGATTGAGCTCAGCGGCATAAGCACCTGCCTTGCAAGCAGGCAGTCGTGAGTTCGATCCCTGGTACCGATAAAAAGGAAAAAGACAAAAAAAAAAAAAAAAAAAAAAAAATCTTTCTCTATTGAATGGGCTTGGCACCCTTGTTAAAAAAAAATTGGTGGCTGGGAATTTAGCTCAGCAGCACAAGTGACTCTCAGTGGATGTCTGTCCTTGTGTCTGTTTTAATCATTGTAGCTTGGTGGTAAGTGTGAAACTCAGGATGAGTGAGTCCTCCAACTTTGTTCTTAGGGTGGGTTTAGCTATTTGAGGTCAGATTTCGTATGTATTTTACAACCATCTTATCAATTTTTGTGAAGAAGCAGGCTAGGCCAGCAACCCTGTGAGGTAGGGCAATATTAATCCTTTTTTACAGAGGGGGAAGTTGAGGCCTACAGCAGTGATATTATCTCCTCATGGCTACTTGAGGGGAGCGGCAGAGCCAGGGGTTCAAACGCCCCTTCACCCCTCCCCCGCTCCAGCTGGGCTGTGCATCTGTACCCAGACCAGGGCTGCACTTCTCAGGCGGGGACAGGCTTGAGCTCTGGGCTTGCACCCAGGTGCACAGGCCTGAAATTATGTGGCCAACTGAGCCACCAGCTGGTGTGGGGATCCCCATCTCCACCCCGATAGACAGAGACCCCGTGTTGGGGAGGGAAGGGAAATCTCTGTTCCTTGCTTTCCCTGGGCTGTGTTTTCACATCCCAGTCTCAGCTCCATTGACCAAGGCCTTGGTGGCCATGACAGCGATGACGCCCAAGATTCTGCAATAAAAGTCCCCCATGGCTTCACCCAAGAAGAAAGCAGCCCAGCCTGGGATGGGACCAAGGAGTTTTCCTCCGTAGCTCTGTGCCAGCGCCTGGTCCCTTGCCACGGGCCTTCATTCAGGAGCTGCTGAGAGCCCTGGAGGCCCTCCTCCCTAAGCTGTCCCAGCGCACGGTGAGCCTTGACCTTCCATCCCACAGCAGCTGCCCGACTCCCTGGCCTGGCTACGCTGGAGGGCAGCCAGGACCACTACCAACATGGCTGCCACGAAGCCAAGGCTTCCTTGGCCAGTGGCGAGCAACCCCCAGCCCCAAGCCCTGGCTTCAGGAGCTGGATCCAGAGGACAATGGAGGAATGAGGGGCCAGCCACGGGTCTTGGCTGTGGGCCTGGAAAGGTCACCCAGTCAAAGCCTTTAAGATGAAAGAAAAACAGTCCTTCCTCAGAGGCGCAGCCCTCGACACTCATGTGCTGTGACCGTGGCGTCCTGGGCTCCTCACAGGAGAACCGGGCCCAGCCATCAAGTGGGAGCTTGCCCCCAAATGTCGAGGGAAGACGTGGGGCGGTCCCTTCACTCTCTTCTCCTTCCCTCGTGTCACATCCTTACCACTTCCAGGATGCTCACTAGCACAGCTTCCTGGAAAGGTGCTCGAGGACTCTGTGCACAGCCTAGTCGGTGCCACCTCACGGCACCATCTCAGGCTCCGGTCCATGAAGGAAAGTCCCGCCTGCCCAGCACCCCAACCCCAGGACCTGACGGAGCCACCAGAACACTCGAGGTTCACTTTGGCAACAGGACTTTTATTCAGTCAACATGAGGAGAGTGTGACAAAACCCAGGCCAGGCCAGGTGGGCCCCAGCCCTACCTCTCCAACGGAGAGGAGGCCTGGACTGAGGGGACGCTGTCACTTGGGAGAAGGAGGGATCGGCCTTCTGGAGTCCACAGGGACACAATGCTAGTGTGCTAGGAAAACACCACAGGTTCTATCTTCTTAGGCTAATTAACTAAAGTCCAGGGTGGGGTGCTCCTAGAGGGTCGTGGTGGGGACAGGGGTCCATCAGAACTTAAATGTTTTCATCTCATTCTTAAGAAACACACCTCTCTTTTTGTTTTCTTTTTTTAAAAAAAGTTTTCTTTCTGCTATTTAAAAAAATGTTCTGAGTGTAACCAAAAATAGTATTTGTCTCCTTCCTTCTTTACCTAAGTCATTTAAAGAACAAGACAACAGAAAAGAGAAACGAAGTCACAGGAACATGACCCTTAAACACACCTCGTATAAAAATAGCTCCTGGCCACATCTGCTGAGGGGTCAGGCTGCTGCGGCCAACACAGAGGCCTGGGCGCCCCGCACACGCTGTCCCTAGATAATACATTCTGGGGGCCCGGCCCAGCCTGGCCCAGCCCAGGTCCCTCGTTGCAGCCTCAGAAGCGCCCCGGGGAGCCCGATGGCGGGGGGCTGGCTGAGAGGGTCACGGGGGTGGATAGGAGGCAGGCAACACAGCACAGGCAGCAGGCCTGGGAGGAGGCTGGTTTGGGACAATTCGTACTTGGAGGAGCGAGTCCCCTCTTATTTTTGGCTTCTTTCACATTTTCTCTCTGACCAATTCCATCTTTATTTCTGGCCCCCTGGGCCTCCTGTCGGGGTGGTGGCGGAGGAGGACGAGGGCCAGGAAGAAGGTCCAGTGACAGGTGGCCACAGAGCTCTGGGCCTTGAGGTAGATGGCTTCTTTCACACCTGGAGATGGGGGCTCCATATTTTTTTTTGTTTTTTGTTTTTTTCACTCTGGACAACGATGGGGGCGGAGGGGAGCCACAGGAGGGCTTGAGGTAGGCGTGCATTGGGCTCTGAGGGCAGGGCCTGGGTGCCGGCCCCTCCCCACGACATTCATATCGGCTGAGGTAGGTGCTGAGAGCCAACACAGCAAAATCCATCCTGAGAAAACCAGGCGCACGCACAGCGGCGCAGCAGGGGCAACTATTCGGAGTCTAATTCACCGTCCTCTCTCTTCTTCCTCTCTCTTTTTCAGTTTCAGTTTTTCGGAGGAAAGCTTTCGTTCACTTCCAAGCCACATGGGCACCAGGCAGCAGCGAGGAGACATCAGCCCAGGAATCGGGGCTCCTGCGGGTCCCCTCCAGCTCCCAGACGCAGGACCGGATGCAGGGCCACCCCCAGGACCCTCTGACTTCCATGTGACAGGAGCAATCTTGCCCGGGACCTGAGAATGGGGGCTCCCCGCCTCAGAGTTGGCCGAACCCTGGCTACTGACCCGAGTGAGCCAGCTGGGCAGCCTGTCCTTCAGGGAGGAGACGGTGGCCTACATCCGGGGATGGCAGGGTAGCCACGGGGTCCACACAGGGGGCCTTGGCCTGCACTGTCCTCCCCTCTACAAGGCTGAACCCCTGAAGTGGTAGCATGGACAGCGGGGTCTCCTCACACGTGGCAAGACCTGCAGGATCCTGTGGGGACAGGGCCAGTCGCACAGGTGTTGCGTGAGGAGGGACAGTGTCAGACCGCATCCCACCCAGGGGTTGGGGTCTCACGACCTCCCTGCCTGGCTTGAGTTGTGTGCTCAGAGCAGATCTAGAGTTTGGACAAGGCTGGTGACTGAGGTCTATGGCCACCAGGAATGCAGGGCAGGAAGGGGATGTGCTCAAGGGACTGTGGCTAGGGGTGGGAGCACTCACAGTGGGACTGGGGCTCGGCCGCCCCACCACCCCTGCTGGGGGACACAGCTGCTCCAGTTCCTTGGCATCCACGCGCTTCTCCTCTTGGCCCAGCTGACCCCGCTCCCTCTGGGCTATGCCATTCAGGGTCAGGACACCAGGGTCCCTCTGGCCCTGGGGACCCTGGGGAGGCGAGAGCTGATTTTCCACATCCTTACACAGGAGGACCCTGTGGGGTGAGCAAGACTTAGGGGGAGCAGGGCCAGAGGATAGGGCCAGCCCCAGGCCCCCTCTCCAAAGCCATCTCTACTCCAGCCTAGGACCCACCTGCCCCTCTGGCCAAACAAGAGGAAAAGCACACAGAAGATGATGCAGGTGACCCCAATGTGGATACCAATGATGATGCCTGTGGTAGACGTCTGGTTGGCAGCGTCCTCCTTCCGGCAGTCACAGGGCGGGCTCAGAGCTGGGGAGAGGGGCAGGTTGGGCTCGAAGCACCCCCAGACCTCCAGCCCATGAAGAGTCCTTCCTCTGCGGGGCCCTGTGACTTTGCCTCCGTGACCCCCGCCCAAGCTTTTCTGTCCTTTTCGCCAATTATAGAGCACTGACTCTGTGCCCAGTACCAGCAACAGCACCTCTCCTGCTGGTCTCAAACTTAGTCCTGCCCTGGCCTCTCAAGTGCTGGCTTAGGGGACTGCGCGTCGCAGGATGCTCCGCCCCGGTGGAGCACTCTCTACAAGGCAGGTCATCAGCTCTGCTGCACAGAGGAGAGCCTCGGCCCACCCTGCCGTCTGGCACGCTCCCCTCAGCCCTGTCCTTCCTGGGTCCCAGGCTCAGCCTGCACCCTCACCTGTCCTGTCCGATGCTCCCCGCAGGGACACGAGGCGGACGGTGGCATTGCTGTCCCCGTGCTGGTTATAGGCCAGCAGCTTCACCTCGTACACGGCGCTGGGGTCTGAGAAAATGGGTGCTGTTGATGGACCCTCCAACCCGCCCCGGGCGCTCACTGTACCCCGTGTCCCACCCCAGGGGAGCCCCCTCACCAAGCCAGCTGAGGTTGTAGGAGGAGGTGGTTCCTGGCAGCAGGATGGGGCCGGCGAAGGAGGCCTGGCCCGCCTGGCGGTAGAACAGTTTGAAGCCACCATCATGCTGAGCCAGCCGGGGCCAGGGCTCCCACAGCAGCTGCAGGGAGGAGCCGCCCAGGACCCGCACAGAGAGCATCGGTGGGGCGGGCGCTTGGGGTGGAGAAAGAGGCCAAGGTGTGAGCACTCAGTTAAGTTCTGCCTTTCCACCTCCTACCTGGACCTCCGGGAGGCTGAGGTGCTCTGCCCTCTGGCCCTGGGCCTACAGTACCCATAGGGCACTTTCCCATGCCTTAGAAAAAGGTGCCCCATGAGGGGGCACAAATAGACCCAGCCCCTATTAGGTCTCAAGGTCAAGTCTCTTGTGCAGTGCACAACTTAAACACGGGTACCTGGCGGCCTTACTCTGAGATCCCGTCTCACCTTCGCCCAGGGTGCTGGCCAGGGTGGGGATGGAGGCTGAGCTGGCCCCCCGGGGTGTGTAGGCCTTGATGTAGAAGCTATAGGCCGTGGAGGGTTCCAGGTCGCTCACCAAGTGCTGAAAGGTGCTCTTGCTGACTGCTTCCTGATACTCCAGTTCCGGAGGATCTGGCCAGGCAAAGGGCAGGGCAGGGGAGTATAAGGATGTGAGGATGTCTGGCCAGCATTGGTGACACAGACGCAGCCGGGGTGCAGGGCGGAGAAGGGGCAGAGTTGAGGACCCACCGGCAGCCTTCCTGATATGCAGGACATAGCCTATGATCTCCTTGGTGTTGACCAGGGGTTCATTCCAGGACACTCGGACCTCGGTGGATGACACAGAGGCGGCCCGGACATTTCGGGGAGGCCCAGGGAGCCCCTCGGCCCACAGCACAGTCAGCCTGGCACTGGCCTGGGATGAGCCGGCGCTGTTCTGTGCCACGCACTGGTAGATGGCCTCGTCCTCAGGGCCGATTCCCAAAATGGTCAGCGTGCTACAGGATGCAGGGAGAACGCAGGTCCTTGACTCCCCCAGCGTCCGCCAAAGGTCGCCAGATTCAAGGTCGCCCCTCCGAGAGCCTGAGAAACTGAGTCCCTCCAGAATAATGCATCTTGGGGCGGGCTTGGGGCTCAAATCTGTGCCTCCAGCCTCGTGTGCCAGTGCATGCCTGATGTGCATCTCTCCTGAGGCTGAGGCAGGAGGACCACTGTGAGTTCGAGAGCCAGCCTGGCCTACATAATGAATTTAAGTGTATCCTGAACCACGCAGTGAGAACCACCCTGTCTCAAAGAACTGCAAAAAACCAAAGAACAAAAAATCCCATTCTATCCTTCCTGTTCAGTGCTCTGCTCTGGTGACAGGCACCATCCACATCCCCTGCTCCTAGGGGCTGGAGGTTTAGCTCAGCGGCATAAGCACCTGCCTTGCAAGCAGGCAGTCGTGAGTTCGATCCCCGGTATCGATAAAAATGAAAAAGACCAAAAAAAAAAAAAAAAAAACATCCCCTGGTCCTAAATCATTAAGTTGCCCAGGCTGGGTTCAAACTTGGAATCCTCCTGCCTCAGCCTCCTACTGCGCTAAGATTACAGACATGCATCACTTCCCCTCACCAGCCTGTGCTGGGGCGTCGTCACCCAGCATGCAGGGCGTACTACCTGTTATTATTCTTGAGTCTCACATGGCCTCCGGGGCCCAGCACCTCGCCATTCTTCAGCCACGTGACATGGGGCGGAGGCTCCCCCTGCGCCTGGCAGGTGAACATGGCCGTGGTCCCTGCCGGTCTGGAGATGGACTGTGGGTGCTGCACGAACTCAGCGGGTGCTGGGGCAGAGAAGTGAGTGAGGTCGTGGGGGTGGAGGCGGGGTCTACACACAGCCACCCCCGGGGACTCCTCTTCAGCTCCTTCCTTTGCCCACCCCAGCTGGACCCAAGAGAGGATGCAGTGTTAATGACTCCCGGAAAGGCTGATGTAGGCATCCGAAGACCCCCAAGCCGGGCTCCCTGTTCAGGACATGGTTAGAAAACTCAGGACCTGGCTTTGGCTGTACTGTGTACAGTACTGTACAGTGGTACTGACAGAGACAGACAGGCCCTGGGTCCTGCCCCCCATCCCAGGCCTCGAGCCTCCACTAACCCAGGCAGGGCACATCCCCAGGAAACCCCTGGGAGGGGAACAGCAAGCCCAGGGCTGGGGCGGGATGAGGCGGGCTGGTCGTGCAGGTATGAGGGCATGCGTGAGCGTGGCAGCACCACACGTGTGAATGACACGGCCGGAGGGAGGGAGCGTGCGACCAGGTGGGGGAAGTGGCCGAGACTCCGAGGCGGAGGGGCAGGGTTGGCTGCATCCCCAGCATGTGTCCCTGGGGCGCAGAGTTGTTGCTTTTGCCTGGCCTGGGGCCAGGGTGCCAAGGAGACAGGAACAGGGCAAGAGGAAGCGGGTGCAGGGCTCCTGAGGGCCACGTGCAGTGGATGCTGTCCTACCTTGCACCACCAGCCGGCCCTGAGCTGTCCTCCTCACCCTCGTGCCCGGCCTGTTGGCTGCACACACGTAGACGCCCGAGTGTTGCACGCTTACGTCGGAGATGATCAGGTTCCCTGTGCCCAGCACCTGGATGCCCTCCACCCCAATGGGGCGGCCATCTGCGAAGGGAGGGGGCGAGCCGCTTAGAGGACAGGGCACCCTCCGCCAGCCTCACGGAGCCCTGACCTGTCCTTCTGCTCTTTCTTTCCTTCCTTCCTTTCTTATTTGAGGACTGGGGATGGAACCAGGGCCTTCCCACTGAGCTACAGCCCCATCCCTTTCAATTTTTCTGCTTTGCTAAGTCACTGAGGTGCCCAGCGTGGTTTCAAACTTAGAATCCTCCTGCCTCAGCCTCCTCCAATGCTGGGCTGACAGATTCGCATCACCACTTCTAGCTAAGGAAGCCCCAGTGTGACACCTTCTCTGCTTGGAAGCAGCAGGGAAAAAGGACTGGGTGCTGACTCCAGCGCCACCTCTGACTCACTGCTGACCTGCAAGCCACTCCTGTTTCTCAAGCCACATGGGAAGGGCTTTGGATCCAATTTCCCAGCCTGGTTTGTCTCCCTTTAAAAAGTTCCATGGTCGAATACCCACCCCACTCTTGGGTGCTGGCTCACAATAGCCACTAATATAAAGGCTCTGAGAAGTCCTGCAGTCGAAGGACCTGGTGAACTTGGTTTCCCAAACTTGTCAGGTCCTTGAGCCTTTCTCTCCCTCCTGATGGATCATGCCTTGGGTAATATGGGACCAGATGTTCCCTGCAGGGCCCAGTGGCTGCTCCTGATGGTGAGGCCACTCTTCCCAACCTCTCCCAGGGACCGGGGCCCTCCCCCCACCCCAGGATCAGATTAGTGCAGTCAGAACACAAGGCGACAGCTCCCCATTCAGGCCCTGAAGTGGTGAAATCTACTCCATTATCCTGCCTGGGGCCCCCTCCTTCCCCATCACTCAGCTGCTACAATGTGGCAGTGTCCCTGTGAATGCGACCCCACCCCACCCCTCGCAGCCTCCTTCCCCGGTGACCTCTGGGCTCAGACAATGTGGGCCCATCTGCACCCTTTCCTTTCTTCCTTCAGCTGCCCAGGGATTTAGGCTGGGGGACTTAGGGGGCCAGGCTAGAGGCAGGGGGACCCCTGCAGTGAGGATAACAGTTTGAGGGACCTGGGATTGCATGGCTGGGGGTGTGGCCGGGGGACAGAGGGCAGGGGCCCGGTGCAGACAGGGTCAGCGCAGGCGGCAGAGGTCGTGGGGGGGGGGGTGATGGGGCAGGATGCCAGGGTAACCCAGGGAGCTAAGCCTGCCCCTCGGAGGGGAGAAAAGGAGGCGACTGCAAGAGAGGGGACCCAGCCCGCAGTTGGGGACCGAGCCCCACTGAGAGCAGGCAGGATTCAGAGTTCGTCCCCCACCCCCCAGCAGGGGATGGGACCCGAGGAGGCCGGCCCTCCCCAGGGGCCCGGCTGCTGGCTGAGGCTCACCCAGGCGGCTCCAGGACACAATGGGACGCGGGTTTCCCGTGGCGACGCACTCCAGCACTGCGGTCTGGTGCACGGTCAGGGTGAGGTTCTCAGGCCCCACCAGGATCGTTGGTTCCTTGTAGGCCCCCGAGCCTGAGCCTGGGAGGACAAGGGCGCATTCCCTCACTCGACCTGGGAACTTCTTCCTTCCCACCCACCACCTAGGACAGACAAGGACGCCAGGGCCAGTGTGTGTGTGTGTGTGTGGGGGGGGTCTTGGGGGACTCCCATGGCCCAGCAGGGGACTGTGGAGCTCCCGCTGCAGCCCCAGCTCCAGCTCAGAGCCCCGGGCTAGGCCAACACTGCGTATGCACCTAGGAGCCAGCGCGCCCCCCACCTGACACGGTGAGCCTGGCCCCGTGGCTGATCCGGACACTGGCGACGTTCGAGGCCACACAGTGGAAGACGCCGCTGTCCTCGGCCCGGAGGCCTGTGATCTGCAGGACCCCCTTGGGCAGTAACGTGTACCTGGGGGGTGGGGGGTGGTGCAACCATTGGTACCGTGAGCCACAGGGCAATGAGTGTCAGAGACGCAGCCCAGGCCCCGCGTACTGTCCCACGGACAGGACCGGGCAGGTCCAGGAGCCTGGAGGGCAGGCCACGTTGTCCCCGGGGTGGGACTCACCTCTCATCGCCCGTGTCAATGGGCACTCTGTTCTTCTCCCACGTGATCAGGGGCTTGGGAAGCCCATGGATTTGGCACTGGAAGCGGGCCACGCCGCCCTCCTCGCCCACCGTGGCTTGGGGGTGCACGTGGAAGTCTGACATGGCTGGGGAAGAGAGCGGGTGGGTGAGGCCAGCTGGGGAGGCGGGGTCCGGGGCCCGCGTGTGCCCTCCTCTCCCATCAGTGGTGGACAGGACAGGCCTAGCCGGGCTCCTCTGAGAAAGGTCTGGGCAAACCCGGGTGATCATGCTTAAGGCAGGACGTTTCAAGCTGTGGGTCTTCTAGAACTGGCCAAAGAGGCCACCCAGAGAAATCACTGCCCCCAAATCTGCTCCCCACTTTATGGGATTCATTTGCATCAACCCCTCCTTTGGAAGGCAAGGCCTTGGTGTTCCCTTCTACAGTTTACTCCTGGGGACACAGAAGCCCCGGGAGGGGACTGATGAGTCCAACGTGGACCAGCAGGGACACCACGAAGTTGTCAGACCCTGGGCATCAGGGTCCCTTCTCCTTGCCTTTTTTATCCCCCTCCTCGGGTTCTTGATCAGTTTCTCCCTTTGCTCTAAGAGGGTGGTGCCCCAGGGAGCCAGGCTCTCAGAAGACTGTTAAACCCACCAATCTACATTTCAATGTGTCATAAATATGCAGGGAGCCCTCTCCACCTTTTGGGGATCTGAACTTGCTGGCTGGTCTGGTGCACAGGGGTGTCCCCCAGTGTAGGTCTGGTAGAGTGCCCTCCTCCTCATTGCCCCATGTCCAAGCCCTTCCCAGTGTGGCTGGGGGGAAGCGCCCCACCCGCCTGCCTGGGCTCCCAGCTTCGGGACCAAGGCTGCAATTGCATTAAAATCCACTTTGCTTCGAGTGCGGGAAGGCGGCGCGCCATCTGTCCAGGCGGCAGCCCCTCCCTGGGGCACTCCATCAACGAGGACAGTCGCTCACCTCCCCGAAGGCACCCTCCCCCACGGCAGCGGGGACTCTGCAGCTTGTCGCTGCCGCTCCTGCTGGGGTCTCCCTGGTGTGGCAGGCAGCCCTCCTCACAGCCCCTGGCACCCTCTCAGGCCCCCTCGAGTCACAGGCCTCTTGTGGACTCCAGGCTGTTCCAAAGGCCTGGCCTTTGTGCCCTTCTACGCAGAGTCCCCAGGGCCTGGCTCCTTTATGGCGCATTCTCCATCTCATTTGCATGTGGTTCATTAAATATAAACATGCATAAAATCTCAGCCCAGCCTCCTCCTGTTTAGGGGCCTCCTGGGAGTGTTGGGATGGGTATGCCTTCTGCTGTGCGCAAGCACGGGGATGTGGTAAACTCATGTGGCCTGGGTGGCACCTATATGGGAACAGGAGCTTCAATCTGGCACCTCCAGTGGCCAGTGTGTACTGTGTCCATTACGGAGCGTGCGTGTTCCATGCAGGTACAGCTCTTAAAGACAGTACCAGAGCCTGGGTGGCCCGCTGGTGACCCCAAAAATATGATGAGAGGACTCCCAGGGAGCACAGCCCTGCAGTCTAGCCTGAGGGAATGGGAGACGGAAGAGGCTCAGTGGCCAAGAGAGCCCCTCTGGTGCCTCCATCCCCAAACTCCAGGAAGGCTGGTCACTGGCCTGGGGGAGTAGCCAGGATGTGTGGTCCCAGTTCCTGGGTCTGTGTCTGTGCCCCCTAGCACCCTGCCCACTGGAGAGCTGGGGAGCTGCCTGTCCCCTCTTCCCTCCAGCTGGAGAAGAGCTCGAAGCCCCCAGGGATGGGGGGGCAGGAACTAATGGTCCTGCTGACTGCAGATGCCCCCTCATTAAGGAACTGAAGCCTTTTGTGCCTCTGGACCCCATTGCCGGCTCCCTCAAGGCACGTAGCGCTGGGAGCTGGCCCCAGGACAGAGACCCAGGAAGGGGCGCTGCTTCTTGGGGTGCAGGAGGGAGAAGTCTAGCCTCCCGAGACCCCCACCCACCTACCTACCCCGACTAAACTGTTACAGTAGCAGACATGGTGCAGTTGAGTGTGACTTAGCAGAGAGGTGCTAGGACTAGATGGGGCCGGGGATATGGAGGGTGATCCTCCTCACCCTGGTATGGCTGGGGTCCTGGGGTCCCCTGGGGGTCCGCCCTAGCCACATCTTCCATCATAGCAACCTGTGGTGCTGTTCTGTGATCGGAGAGTAGGTGTGCCTTTTCAAGTGCTTGAAAACCACTTCAAAGCAAATCCTTCTGTTTTGCCAAGTGGAAACTGAGGCCCAGCTGCTGCAGGGTCCTGGGTTTACTCCTCAGTGAGTTTTAGGTGGCCTCAGACTGAATGATCCAACAGTCTCTGCTCGCTGGTGGGAGGGACGGTCAGAGGCTCAGGGATTGTTCCTAACACCTCCGGGACCCCCACCTGGCCTTGTCACCACGGCTCCCTTTTCCCTCCACTCCCCACACTTTAGTCAGCCCTGTACACCCCCCCGGGGCCCCATCTGGAGCCACAGCCACAGGTGGGCTGCTCAGTTCAACCACCTTGGTCTTTTCCCTGTGCTCCTTTTTTTTTGAGACAAGGTTTCACTGTGTACCCCAGGCTGGCCTCAAACTCAGGGCGACCTTCCTGTCTCAGCTTCCTGAGTGCTGGGGTTACAGTTGTGTGTGTGTGCCACCATGCCGCCTGCCCACAGGCTCCTTTTTAATTGCAGGGTTGGGGAGGAAGGATCTCAGGGTCATGAGGCCTTTCTGCAGTCTCAAGAGGGAAGATCTTGGCTTTACACTTTACAATTGTTCTTATATTGTACTGTTTAGAGAATGGCTTTACACTCTTGCTGACACTAGCTGGTCTGGGGGGACAATTTGGGGACCCTTGCTTCAAGCTGGGGGATTGGAGGGAGCAACGGACACCAGTTGGGAGGACCATTAGAGAGAAATCAATAGAAAGAGGAAGAACAGAGCAACTTTGTCCCCAAACAAGGAGCAAGGAGTCTGCCCTCCCGGGCTGCTGGAGGGACAGAGGGGCCGAGAGTGAGCCCCTGGCAGTTGGCCGGACGGAGGGAGCAGAGCCAGGCAGGAAGCGGTTCCTGGACACCCTATAAATCACCCCAAGGGGAGGAGGGGGTCTCCTGAGAGCCAGCTCTAGGACGGTTCAGAGAGCATAGTGGGGACCTCACTCTTGGCCCAGGACCTCTGGCAAGGTCAGGCCTGGATCTGATTAGACAGGCTCCAGACAGGCAGGGGGGCCGCCGAGGGTCCAGCCAAAGTGCCAGGAAGGAAGCTCCGGCCTCTCACCCTTCGGCCACAGCCAGACTCCTATCTGGTGCGTGATGGTAAAGAGAGCTGTTGTCCAGCGTGGATGGAGAATCTGAAACACAGCCCTGCAGAGAGCTGGGGGTGTGAGGCGTAGGCTGCCCCTGTGTGCAGCCGTTCTGACTACTCAGAAGTATCGGTCCTGCCAAGTATCAGGGACCCCAGCTTCTGTGATGCCCCGCCCCTCCTCTGGCAGCTTATATAACTGCGTACACCCATCACTGCCTGAATCCTACCCACCACTACCCGCTGCCCCCAGCTTTTCCTCCAGAGCCACAGTTTTCAATAAGTACTGACTTAGGACCCACAGGAGTCAGCATCCCCTGAACATGTCAAGATGTGTGGATGCTCTATACATTACTGGAATATCTGCATACAACCTATGCAATCCTCTTGTATTATGTTACATCTTTTCTAGATTACTTACAATAACTAATACAAGTGCTATGAAAATTGTTCTTATATTGTGTTCTTATATTGTATTGTTTAGAGAACAGCAAAAAAAAGTCTGCATATATTCAGTATAAATGCTCTTTCTCTCTCTCTCTCTTTTTGTGGCCATGATGGAGAGGGAACCAAGGGATCCCACACCATAGGTAAGTTCTCTATCACTGAGTTGGACTTCCAGACTCCAATTTTTTTTAAAAAAATATTTTTAATCTGGTTGAATGTAGAATTTGGAACCTGCAGGTACAAAAAACTCAATTGTGTAGTGGCCAATGGTGAAGTACTTGATAGGGGATCAAATTGAGATGGGCCATTAGTATAACACAGACATTTTGAAAGCTTAGTATAAACCATGTAACACGCTTGTAATTCAGGCACTACTCAGGAAGCTGAGGCAGGAGGGTTGCTAGTGAGTTCAGAGCCACCCTTAATTACACAGTGAGACTGTTTCCCAAAAAAAGAAGAAAAAAGAAAAAGAAAATGTAATATGTTAAGACAGAAAAGATACTAATTTTTAGGGAAATGCATACGAGGATGAGTTGTATTAAAAATACAGAAAATAAGCTAGGTACAGTGGCACACAACTCTTGTCCCAGTTACTCTGGAGTCTAGGAGTTTAGCATCAGCCTAGACAACACAGAGTCTGCATTTCAAAACAAAACAACACACATACAAAAACAAAACAAAACAAATGGGGACTGATGAGAAAGTGGAGACACTGGAACCCTCAATGGGTGGGAAATGGACAATGATATAGCCGCTAGGGAAGACGTTATAGCAGGTCCTCAAAATTAAAAATCAGGGCTGGAGTGTGGCTCAGGAGAGAGCCTATTTTTATTTTTATTTTTTTTGTCTTTTTGAGACAGGGTCTCGCTGTGCAGTTCAGGCTGGCCTTGAACTCACTTTGTAGCCCACGCTGGTCTCGAACTCGAAATGATCCTCCTGCCTCAGCCTTCCTAGTGCTGGGATTACAGGTGTGAGCCACCATGCCCAGCTGAGAGCCTATTTTTAGCATGTACCAGGTCCTGGATTTGATACCCGCACCATAAACAAACAAACACATAAACAATGACCATATAATCTACCAATTCTACCCGAAAGTATTATCCAAAACAGTTGAAAGCTGAAACTCAAAGAGATATTTAATAATGCTCATGGCCACATTTTTACACATATAAAAGGGGGAAACGGCTTGGGGATTTAGCTCAGTGGCATAAGCACCTGCCTTGCAAGCAGGCGGTCATGAGTTCGATCCCTGGTATCGATAAAAAATATTTTAAAAAACGTGGGGGGACAACCCTTGTCCATTGGCAAATAAAAAGGTGAACAACACTATAGCCTCTACCTACAATGGAATATTACTCAGCCTTAAAAAGAAGGAAATTTGGACACAGGCTCCAACATGGGTGAATTTTTAGGATATTATGCAGAGATAAGTCAGTCATAAAAAAGGCCAATTCTACTTCTTTTTTTTTTTTCAATTCTACTTCTATATGAGGTAGCTAATTGTCAAAGTTGTAGAGACAGAAAGTCAAATAATGGTTGCTGGGGGCTGGGGAGAAGGGTAAATGGAAACGTATTATTGTTTAATGGGAAATATTGGTATTATTATATTTTGTTTAATAGGAAACAAGAGTTTCATCTTGCACAGTTTTACAAGATGAAAAGGTGCCGGGCATGGTGGTGCACACCTGTAATCCCAGCACTTGGGAGGCTGATGAAGGAGAATCATTGTGCGTTTGAAAACAGCCTGGGCTACAAAGTGAGCTCAAGGCCAGCCTGAACTACACAGTGAGACTCTAACTCAAAAGACAAAAAGAAAAGAAAAGATGAACAGAGTCCTACAAATGTATGGTAGTGATCACACAACAATGTGAACATATTTAATGCCACAGAACTGTACACACTTAAGAACAGCTAAGATAAACCAGGTATGGTGGTACACGTTTGTAATCCAGCATTGTGAGAGGCTGAGGCAGGAGGATCACAAGTTTGAGCCCAGTGTGGGCAAATTTAGCTACTCAGTGACACCTTGTCTCAAAATTTGTCTTTTGGTGTGAAGACCCTACGTTCAAACCCCAGTACCACACACACACACACAAATCAATCATTAATTAATCAATAAATATAAAGCTCTATCCTTTAGTCTCACTAGCCCCATTTTAACTCAACAGCAACATGAGGCTATCGGCTGCACTCCTAAGAAAGTGACACAGCCATGACAGAAACTCCTGGCAGGCAGCTCCGGTCCAGATGCGAGGCTACCAAGCCCCGGCCACCGTCTCTCTGGCTCTTTCTCCCTGGCTGCTGTGCCCTCCCCAGAGATGACCCCTTCTCTCGGCTTCCGGGGCAGCCCCATCTCGGCCATGTGACCTGGAGACAGAGGACCAGGTCCACACTTGGTCTCACACCCCAGAGAAGGCCTCCTCGAGGGGAAACGGCGGCTCAGCACTTCAGCAGAAGTGCAGGGAACAGTGAAGGCTCTGGACCCAGACAGAGCAAGTTCGGATCTCATTGCTGCCATTCTGAGTCATGTGACCTTGGACAAGTGACACGACCTGCCAGAGCTTGGGCTTCTCACTTTGTGCTGCTGCCCGGGGGTGCGGGGGTGGTGGTGGTGGCTCCGATGAGGTATTCATAAAGCGCCTGGCAGAGTCCTTGGCGGAGAGTGAACACCTGTTACTTGCAGTTGAGGGAAAATGGTTAAACACTAAGTTAAGAAGCTGTGTGACATGACACACATCTGCAGCCCCAGCACTCTGAGAGGCTGCAGGTTCGAGTCCAGCCTCGGCAACTTAATAAATAAAAGATCATTAAAAATGGACTGAGGGTGTGGCTCGTGCCAAGGCCCTGGCCTCGGTCCCCACTACCAAAATAAAAAATGAAGAAATCATGGAGAGTTTTGGGAGAGCAAGGCTGGGGCTCACTTTCCACAGGGAGATGCATTTTCCCAGGGAGAGGTGAAGACAGAGAGACTCGGTGGGGACCTTCATTTTTGAGGCCTGAGAGGTAAGGGTGTTATTTAGGGGTGGGAGCAGCTGGGTATAAAGTAGGGCTCGGCCTCTCCTGTCACACTGCTGCCCACGGGCTTTGCAGAGGCCCCAGCAGAGGAGCTGTCAGTTGGAAGAGGCCACTGGGTAATTGAGGCCTTGATTTCTCTAGTAAAATGTTTACGAAGCCCATAAACTCATGCCTTTATTGGCCAGGCTCATTCCGGAGGTTGGATGTGGCTCTCCAAGGTGTAGTTAAAACACCTGCTGAACACGGTGCCGACTGCGGCCCGTGTCTCCACCCAGACTCACCAGAGCGGCAAGGCACAGCCATGGTGGGCAGCACGGCCCCCGGAGGGCAGGGAAGCCAGCCAAGTCCCCTCACAGGCTTTGTAAACCTCTCAAAGCCTTCATACCATGGTGTCAGAGACCCCTAAGAACTGCTCCCAGCCTCCCTTGTGCAGTGGACGCTGGTCTGGTCACCTCCACCATCCAACTCTCTGGTCAGCCTCTGGGAAAATCCCTGCAGTGACAACAGGCCGTGGTCACTTGGGGCAGGGAAAACAGCCCTTGGGATACCTAGGATTCCTTCTACAGTTACCAAGAAGACTCGGAGAGAGTTGGAGTCCAGAGTGGGTTCAGAGGAGCAGCTGGGTGGGGGTTCAAACAGCCCTGGGTGGACAGGGTTGTGACAGCTTCCTAGAAGCCCAGCCTGGTTTCTCTGGGGACAACGGATCCATCTGGACCCTTGCCTGGTGACCCCTGCTCTGCAAAGCCTCTGCAGCAATCCCCCAGCCCCTCATCCCCTGCCTTGGGCCCCTGAACCCCAGCCCCTCCCTTCCACCTCCCTCCACCCCGCCCCAATTCGAACACAAAAGACAACTTTGTCTTTCAACTCAGCGGCTGGCCTTAAATCCACATCTCTCCCCTTTCCAAGCCACCTCAGCCACCTCTGACAAACGGAGGGGTGGGGCCTGGATGGGAAGAGGCAGGGGGCCGCCAGGGGCTGCATTCGCATTCACCTAGGGAAAGTCCCTGTGTCCAACTGTTGGCCTCCCAGGACAGAACGAGTCTCCAACCTTGGAATCCACAGTTGGTCCAAGGCACACTGGCTCCACAGCCCCTTGGATGGGCTTTCACAGCCCAAGGGGGCTAAAACCTTTCAGCCACATAATCAGGAGGTGCCAGCCCTTCCTCCAAGCTGAGCCAAGGGCTCCCCCTGCCCATACTCTGCCGCAGTTATGGGTGTGAGGAGTGTCTGGGGGTGTGCTGCCTACTGAGGGTAGACCGGGGAGCCTAGGATGGCCTCCCACACATTGGGGAAGCCTCCGAGGAGGGGAAGGCAGGTCTCCTACCCCTACAGTCTCAACTTCAGGTATTTTCCCCTATTTCTATCTAGGGCACCAGACCATGGATCAGAGTCAGTGTCCTGGGTTTGTGTCTGGGGACACGGTGCCTGTCTGATTTTTACACCAGAGCCCGCTCTACGGAGTCATTCAGCAAACACCTACTGCACGTGAGTATAACGGGCAGGATCTCCTGTCCTGGGGTTGGCGGTGCTGCCTTTGCGTAGCACGTGTGAAGCCCTGGGTTTGAACCCCTGCACTCAAAGAAAAATGCCCCTAAACCACAGGCCCTGTCCTTAAATGATTCCACTCAGGCTCCAAAAAATAAAAAATAAAAAAAGCATCAGAAGGATAAAAGTACCAGCGATACTACTCTGAAAAACAGACCTGTAACTGCCAGGTGGTCAACAGTTAGGCTTACATCGCTGTCACTCTGTGAGGCTCCACGAGGCAGATGAGGCCCCGGCATCCTCGCACAGGAAAAGCCGGGCACCCAGGGTCTCAGGCCCTTCAAACACCGCCCGCTCATGTATGAGATTGGAGACACCTGTAATCGCCCCAGGACTTGGAGAATTTTATAGAGTGTAACTAACGCGGCTAAGTAGCACGATGTCCCCCCACTCAGAGTCACCCTGTCTATGTATCTTTCGCGAATCTCGGCAGCACAGGTAAATAAACAGCCCGGATGCTCATCCCAGCGTGGTGCTTCTTTTGGCAATTCCAGCCTTCCCTCTAGGAAACCTGAGCTGCAGGCCCCTTGCAGGGCAGGGCCTGCAGGGCTACTGCTGGAGGTTACTCTGTTGGGCTGTAGGACATGGAGAAGTCCTCTGTCCTCCCAGCATGGGGCACAGAGAAGCAGAGCCTGTGAAATGCCAGCACTTCTGTGGGTAAAGGGCACCTGGCTATGTGCATTCAGTACAAAGTCCATCTCTGGAGCCTAGGTTCCCTCCTTTGTATCCCACAGTAGCCCTTGGGGACTCTGTTTCCAAACACCAGCCAGCAGGGCCTGGGAGTCAACTTGGGACTCTCCGCCTTGCATTTGAAAATGTCCAGGCCCACAGCAGAGCCTCTCTCCGCAGCGTCTGCTAGTATCAGGGTCACCAATCTCCTTTATGTAAACCTGCCCAGTCCCACAATATCCTTCACTTCCGTTGTTCTGGTCAGGACACCGGATCTCTCTCACCTCCAGGAAGGGCGTCTGGTTAGGGGGCCCAGGCTGGAGCTATTAAATAAATTGCTTTCACATGACCAGAGGACAACTCAACAAAAACAGATACTTCCCCCAAATTTCCAGAGCCGTATATTAGGATTTGAAGGGATTAACAGAGTAGGGTTTAGGTAAGGGACAGCCAAGCTGGGATTTTGCTGGACTCTGTCACAGGTTCCTGATGTGCCTTTTCAGTTCAACCTTGGTTTTCTCATCTGTAAAATGGAAGAGGGGCAGGATGAAGAAGATGCTCTTCAAGGTGCGAATCAACATGAGGATTTTAGGACTCACTGGCCAACAGTCCCTCTGCACCCAGGAAAGACAGCCGAATTCTCTAACTCTGATCCGACCTCACAGGGATGCCAGTCTCTTGGCACACCAGCATTCCAAGAAATCTCTGGAAGCTCAACAAAGAGCCTTTGTCACTGGATCCTCAGCAGCTCTCCACAGTAACCCTTATCTGTTTTAGGGAACAAGAAAATCTACATCCATGGTGGATCATGCAGTTTCTTGGCTGGTATGGTCCCAGCAACTCCTGGAAATAGATTTATTTGGGGGAATTATACTGCTATCCTTCCGTAGAGGGTTTCAAGAGTTTTCCCATAAATGCAAAGGAATCCATACACTCAGCCTACCAAAAGTTGTCTTCCTCGTACTTTTTATAAACCTTTATCATGCCATCTCTCCCCATTATAAGCCAAGGAGTCACTGCCCCATCCTTCTCTCCCTCTCCAATGGCTACCTGGCCCCCAAATCCTGATCCATCTCATAGCCTTGGCTAAGGGTCTCAGCACTCCCAAGTGCTTCTGTAACAGCCTCTCTACCTCCATCCTCCTGAATAACCAACAAGCAATCAGTTCCCATTGCCCTGAACCAAGTGTGCTCTACTCGACTGACATTCAAGGTCATCATTATGAGGTCATTTTGTCTTTCCAGTCTCAAATACCAGCTACTTCTATAGTCATACGATTTCTCTGCTGACCCTGTGAGGGAAGTTCGCATTCCCTGGACAGATCAGAGATGCCCAGCCTCATATTCTTTCGCTGGTGCTGGCCCCTCTGCCTGGAACTTTTTTTTTCTCTATCAACACCTCCCTCCTCCACATCCCGCAAAGGAAGCAGAGCAAACTCTTAGCTTTGCACTGTGCACAGCTCATTCCCAGCCCTCATAGAGTATCAGGGCCCAGTGCCTACACCGTGCTCTGCCCATCTATGAGTCCCTTACTGTAGAGACCAGGACGAGTGGCCTGTCTGCTCCCCGCTATCAAGAGCAGACACTAGGCAAACACCGAGTGTCATAAACCGGTGCCTGAAGGCCGACTTTATGGCTTGGGGCCCACCCACTTGTAATCTCTACCCTTGCACTGCCCAATAGCTCCCCTCCAGCAGCACGTCCTCCACCCTCAGCTTCTTCGAGAAAATACAGAAGTTGGACGGTGGATCCCAACACAGCCCAGGGCGCTGCTTCCTATCAGGGCGGATTCCTGGGCCCCCAGGCCAGAGACTCCGATTGGGCCATCTGCTGTACTGCCCAGGAATCTTTGCACCGCGGGTCAAGGGGAGACGCAGATGTTAAGCTGGGATGGGGTGGGAGGGGGGCTTCAGGTTCTCGAGAATCCCGAGGAGGGCCGAGTGTCAGCCCAGAGCCCCAAATCTCGCTGGAGGCCGGCTGGCCCGGTGCAGTCAAGGCCCGAGCCTGGGCCCCCGGGCACCGTGCGCTGGAGTAAGTGGGACCATCTGCTGCCTGCGCGGAGGTCAGCGCCGGGGTCAGGCTCCCATCCCCCTCGCTCCAATCCCGCCTTCCCTGCTCTGCCCTTTGACTCCTGGACTCCGAAGAGAAAAAGCACCGGAGGCCCCCGATGAAAGCAGGGGTGTGATGGGGGGTCGACACTGCCCGCGCGCGCATCCCCGGGCGCGGAGTCCGGGGACGCGCGGGGCCCTGCCCGGGTCCCCGGGCGCGCGGTTCCCACAGCCGCAGGCGCGGGCCCTTTGAAGTGGCCGCAGCTGCGCCGCCGGCCGCGCTAATCCGCGCCGACGCGGGCGTCCGCGCCCCCCCGCACAGCAATAGTGTCCGCGCTGAATGGCGCTGGCTAATTACCTCGCTCGCACCACCGCGGGTGAATGAGAGAATCCGGCCTTGTGCGCGGCGAATGGAGAAAATAAGACAGCCATTGTCCTCGCGCGCCAAACGAGGGTTTGATGTCGCTGGGGCGAACGAGGCACCATTTCCCGCCACCCCCTCCCCACTCCCTGGGCTGCTCGGATGCTCCAGCTGGGCCTGGCCTCCCTGAGGCCCGCCCCGAGCTAGCAGGGAAACTGAGGAAGCACTTTCTGCCCCGCCCGGCGCAGGGCTCCTCACCAAGCCCTCTCCACCTGCCTGCATCTGCGCTGGACTCACAGGCGGGGCCTGCCCAAAGTCCCGGGCGCACAGGGCGCACTGGAGACCAGAGGGAATGGGGCGCCTGCCCCTGGTGCCCAGCTCTGTGCTGCCACCCTAATACCCTGGAGAAGTTTAGATCGCATCTGGGACAGCTGTGGGGAGAGATGTGTAAGAGAAAGACTCAGAAAATAAGGAGGCAGGGAGATGGGAAAATGTAGAGCCTGGGCTAAGGCAGAAAAAGAGGGATCGAGATGGGGGAGATCTGCATAACCAGGCCTCGGAATTTGGATGTAACCCCAGGAGAGGGGCAGGCCCTTGTCTGTATTTCTTCTCGGCTACTGCCTCCGGCTGGGCTGAGCAGGCAGACGGGAGCTCCACCGCGCACTAGTGAACACTCAGCGCTGGGAACCCGGAGAGCATAGGCCTTCCTCTTTACCCTGAGGTGGCTCAGGTAAGTCAAGGATGATTGGATCAGAAAAACAAGGTCGCTATGAATTCGAGGCCAGCCTGGATTACATAGTGAGACCCTATCTTGAAATAAACAAATAAAAATAAAAATACAAAAATAGAGCTGGGCGTGGTGGCTCACCACTTGGGAGGCTGAGGTCGGAGGATCGTTGCTAGTTCGAGACCAGCCTGTGCTACAAAGTGAGCTCAAGGCCAGCCTGAACTACTGCATAGCAAAACCCCGTCTCAAAAAAGATTATATATATATATAGCTCCTTGTTTTTCTGATCCAATCCTGAATCAAGGTTTCATCAAACCCCAATATAACTCCAGAAGTGATGACAATGCCTTTTTTTTTTTTTTTTTTTTTGTCTTTTTCATCAGTACCAGGGATCGAACTCACAACCGCACACTTGACAATGCTTTTCTTTATAACTCCCCTAACCAAACCTCTGCCTTAGGGTCCTATTTCTTCTGCGTGAGTTCTCTAACCTTGAGCCCACCTGGCACCACAACACCTGCTGCTGCTGCTGCTGGACTCCAATGGATCTTCCTGGTCAACTAGAGTGACAAAAGAGAGTTGCCGTGGGTGGGCAGAGGCAGGGACACTGGAGCCCCCCACTTCACCTCCCTCTCCCCTTAATACACTCAGGGATTTTTAAGGAATGACGCTCAATCTCCTTTTCTAGGGAGAAAAAGGATTTGCCTAAAGAAGCAACAGCTAGTTAGTAGCAAATCAGAGACCATTCTGAAGGTACGCCAGCCTCTCACTTCATTTCCCAAGACTAAAGTGATCATCAGAACAGAAACTATGTACTTGTTATGATGTTACACAATAGGAGTGTCCTATGGTCTGACCAGACTTCTCAGCAGCATCCTGCTCTGGAAAACAGTCCACTCTTTCCCCCATTCAAAAGGCCAGATCGGCCTCCAGGCCCAGGTGAAAGACTTCACACTTTTCACCAAAGAAAGGACTTTTTTTTAATTTCTTTGTTATTAGGGATCGAACTCATGACCTCACGCTTGCCAGGCAAGTGCTTTTCACTGACACTTATTTCTCCTCATGTCTCTTCCTTGCCCAAACCTGAGATCATAAGTAAGTTTATTTATTTATATTTCCTTTGGTGCTGTGCCACTGAGCTATGTCCCTGGCTTTAAAAGGTTTTCGTTCTGATGGGAAGATGATGAGGATAATATCATAAGGGTACATTTCCCTCCTCTGCTTCATTTCCACAGTGACGGGTGCTCAGAGGATTCTTTGTGGTCCTTAGGGTTCTGACTTTTACAAATGACCTAGGTGGGCAGGGACACCCAAGGATGGTCCTTCCAACAAAGGAGGCAAAAGGGAACTTCTTAGCATGGAATCTAGCCAGTTAGCGCTTTGGCAGGCGGAGGATGAGGACAGAGGTCAGGCATCCCAGATATGTCTCCAGGTTTCCTGGGATGGGTCCCTGAGACTGAGTTCTCTCCTGAGGTCCAAACTCTCCAAGACCAAGCTCTTTGGCGCTTGGTCATGGCTCGTGGGCCAGGCCACTCTCTGTGATCCTGCTGTGGAAGAAAGGCGTTCCAGACTAGTGGGAGGAGACAAGCGATACGCTCCCTGTGTCAGAGTGGACCCTTGGGTGTTTTCTGACCACCTGAGGCCTACAAGGGTAAACTGGGGATTCAGGCCAATAGATCCTTTCTAAACTGATGTGATAAGAGCGGTGGCCCACATCTATAACCCCAGCTCCCTGGGAGGCCGAAGCAGGAGAATTGCAAGTCTGAGCCCAGCCTGGGAAATTTAGCCACGTACTAAGACCCGGTCTCAAAACATTTTTTATTTTTTATTGTTTTTTGGTCTTTTTTCCTTTTTATCGGTACCAGGGATCGAACTCACAACTGCCTGCTTGCAAGGCGGGTGCTTATACCACTGAGCTAAATCTCCAGCTCCAAAATATTTTTTAAAAGTGCTAGATGTTTGTGTGCATTAGTGTGCACCTCTGTGTGTGTGTGTGTGTGTGTGTGTGTGTGTGTGTGTGTGTATGTATGTGTGTGCAAGCTAATGCTCTGGTGATGTAGCTCAGTATAAAAGACCTGGGTTCGATCTCTAGCATAAGTAAATAAATAAAGCAATATGGCTTTATTCCAGGAATCCCTTGATCTCATCAGCATCATCTCATCAGCCTGCTTGTAATGATCTTGACTTTGTCACAGTTCAATGGGAAGCTGACTGATTTGAGAAGTCAGAAACAGAGTGGGGGGGTGGATATCAAGCAGGCTCAATCCGGGCCCATTCTGGGTAATATAATTATCAGTGATCTGAGATAATGGAATCAGGAATATTTTAATCCAATCTGCACACAAGACAAAACTAGAAGGGGCTTCTCTAGGTGCTAGCGGATTGGAATACAATTTTAAGAGACCTCAAAACATGAGGGTACGTTGTAGAGAGCAGATAACATTTCACACAAGCTAGGATGTAATAGGCAAAACTAAAATGGCCCGAAAGGAGCACAAGGGAAAAAATATTAATAAACCAAATTAAAAGATGGTACACAAAGATCCAGAAATTGTGTGTATCTGGTTTCAAATCTCTAAGGTCCTCAGTGAATCTGGCTCTGGAATTAGAGCCCAAATCCCATCTAGCCAATCAGCACACAGAAAAGGCCACGGGCAGCCTACTGGTTACAGCTCTGTGTGCCAGGCCTTGGGCCACGGGCTCCCTCTGGGCCTCAGTTTCCACAGCAGTGAGAGGAGACGTGAGCTGGACAGGAGGCTGGGAAGGGGCAAGAGGGGCAGGGTGAGTGGGCCAAGCAGGGGAGCAGTCTTCTTCCTACTGCTGTGTCCCCTGGGCGCCACCCAGGCACTGTGAGGGTGACAGGCCCCATCCTGCCTCCAGGTCTGCCACCTCACAGCCTCCCAGACCGTCTCTCACTCCCCACTCCTAGACCTGGCTGGATCCAAGACCTGTCCGTAGACTGTCCAGCCCTGGGCCTTGTTTCCCATCCTAGTGGCCAAGCCAGCTGGGGGAAGGGTATTGGGAAGGAGCCCAAGGCTTCTCGCTCCTGTCCTCCTCTATTTCCCCCTCCCAGGCCAGTTACAGGATCACAGCTGATGCCAACACTAGGGGTGGTGCATCTTGGATACCTCGAACCCGGGAAGCAAAGATGTACATAAACCAGCCCTGCACACCACACGTACCCAGCCACACCGGAGGCCGATGCTGCTGAGAGACTCACAGACCGGGTTCCTAAGTGCAGACAGGAGAGGAACGTGGAGGGGCGCTCAAGGCAGGCGGAGTCCCAAGCCTGGGCCGGGGACCACATGGGAGGGTCCCCAGGCTGTGGACTACATGGGAGCGGAGGGCAGCTGGCTGTGAAGCAGCAGTGGGCACCAAGGTAGCTCGCTGGACCCCTTAGAGGGGCCAAGTTGGTGCTCCCCCAGAGTCATGGTCCCCCATGCCTATCGCCCCAGAGATCCGGTGCTCACCCTGCTCCAGGGCCCCCCAACCACAAGTGCCCCTTGCCCTCCCTAGTAAGGCCCTGTGGCCTCACTCCTGTGGCCACAGCCTACCACTCCTGGCTGGGCCACTGGGGACTGGGGATCGAAGCAGCCACTGCCCAATTCATTGTCCCATGGGGCTGAGAGGGCTGGGGTGCCCTCAGACACCTCGACAGTTTGATGGAAGAGAGGGATCATCTCCAGCTCCCTCAGCATGGGGGTCCTGTGAGCCTTAGGCCACCTTGTCCGGTGGGCTATGGCAGCGATTGAAGACAGCCCAGGCAAGAGGACAGGACAAGGACAATCAGCAGCCCCTGCTCCTCCAGGCTGATTGTGGCTCTTCCACCCCACACCCTCCCTCTCCTGCCAAGCACCCCTGGGGAGAAGGAGCCTTCTCAAGCCCTGCCAGTTCCTCTCCTGTGATTTGTTCTGAATTTTCAAACAAAGAGTAATTATGACAGATGTGGTGCAATCAGCATCATTATGCGGGGGGGGGGGGGACGGACAAGAAAGGGAGCTGGGGGCACAGGGGAGGAGTGCTTGTCTTCCTCCTCCTCCGAGGGGCTCCCACCTCCACCTACAGCAGCCCCACAACTCCCAGCTTCCAGGGGAACCTGCCCCATGCCCAGATAGGCTTCTCTTCCAGGAGCTGCAGGTCTAACCGGACCTCTCCACTGTGGCTTGGAGTAGGGGTGCCCCTGCCTGGCCCCTGAGAAGTGGACCTCAGCTTGGCCAGGGCCTTGAGCTCTTCTGTCCTCCTCCATGGCCCATGCGCCCCCACCCCAGGCATGAGTATCTATTCTCAGATACTCAGGATGTCAAGCCTGTGTAGCCTTGGGCAAGTTTACCAATCCTTCTGGGCTTTCATGGGCCCATCTGTAAAACAGGACTCACAAGCCTATTAATGGAATTGCTTCGGGAATTCAGTGCAGGGACTGAGAGAGGGCTTAGAACAGAACAAGTCGGGATTACAGACTCCGTCGTGGAGATCCTCAGCGTCCATCAGTGAGCATGGAGACTCGGAGGCCCTCTGCTCTCTACCCCGGATGTCACACCCATGATCTGCTGGCTGCAAACCACAAAGCCCAGCAGGGCAGGGCCCAAGAAAAACAGAACGACTCACGCCATCTGCTCTGCGGAGCAGGGCCCATAAGACTCCCCGTTTCTGACCCAGAGGGGAAGGAGGCACTTCGGAACGCCAAAGCCAGAGTTCTGATAAGCTAGAATGAGGCCTTTGGCCAGCTCGGCTGCAAGACAGAGTTCGGCCCTCAGTGTTCAAGGCTGTGAAATTTGAAGGCTGGATGTGCTCAGCTCAGATCCCACCTGGAGCCTGGGGAGACGGCAAGGTGCTAGCAATCCTAGGATTCTTCTGCCTCGGGCTGCAACTCAGCAAAAGGGCAAAAGGGCGAGAACTTGGTTCTCTCTCACGGTGGTCTGCCCCCTCCTCTTCATTTCGGTGGTCTGGACTCCATCTGCCCACTCCAAGTCCCCCCCCCGGGGGGGGCCTCTTAATAGTCCCCCCCTTACATTCCAGTGGCCTTGGAGGCAGCAGCCAGACCAGAAAGTCCAGTTCCTGCCCATTATCTCTGCCTGCATCTCACTGCAACCCAA